AGGCTTCTCTGATTTAAAAATAAACAGAAGAAGGGGTGTTTATTTGAGCAATAACTGTACCTCCAGTACAGATCAGCAAAGCACCAGTGGCCAGTGCAGAGTCATGAGCATTTCCTTTATTTGCTGTGGCCACTCCAGCACAGAGTCCATCCCCAGTTTCAGTGTCACCTGACCCACCACCAGTGTTACCATAATAGAGGCCTGGTACTGATGTCCAAGATTAAATTCCTGAATTACAAGAAGGAGTCTGAGGTTGTATAGTTTCTGCGTTTCCTTTGTCCTCAGGACATACCTGGATACTGCAGCACTCCATATGGCATTGATATTATTAACAGCTGGTAGCATTTATTCATCAGGACTTCAAACCCTGCTGCTGATTCAGCACCTTTATGCCAATCTGTGAGTGGGCCAGCACTGCAGCATTCTCCCTCCAGCGCACCCACATGGGCAGCTTGTTTCCACACAGTGACTTGAGACAGGACTGCAGGAAATCCTCTTAAGAACTTGCCCAGGTTGTACTGAACCTCTCCATCTCCTGGCCTCAGCTTGCAGGCAGTGTGAGCAAAGCAGCTGGGCAGTAACACACCCTGTGTCCCTCCAGCCACACCCCAGGTGCCCCTCACCTCCTCCCAGACTCTGAACTGTTACGTGCTGCTTGTCCTTGTCCTGCAGAGAACAGGCCAGTGACACAAAGAACCCTTCATCCAGTACTGGAGGTGAGAAGCAGATGGATTTGGGCAGACAATTCCCAATTCACTTTTCAATTTTGTTTTACAGTTTTTCAACACTTATTGATCTTATGATATAATGCCATCCATCAATAACTTATCTGGGCAATATGTGGTCTAAAATGTGGTCTGATGCTTGTTTGAGCAAACATTCCAATTTCACATGAACAACATTTTTTATTCAGGCATAGATAAATGATGGTCAATAACCTCCAGGACTGTTGACATTTTTATCTGATACCTTCAAGCCTTCACCTCTGAATATAGTGAGGCACCATGTACAAAAACAGGAACAGTAATATTCAAAGGAAACAGAAGATTTTTAAAAGCAAGATCCAGACATCAAAGTTCTTAAGATGAGTTTTTTAAAACAAGGTTTTTATAAAATAAACTAAGTATAAAATTTATTTGTGTGACTTCAGAACCTACCTATTGCACACACTTCATAGTTAAGCATTTTCTTCTGCATCTGAGATGTAGAACTCCCTCTGACTCTATTCTTAACATCAGATTCTTAACCTAACCTTTTCCCCCAGCCTCTCAAGCCCCTCTGCAAAAAGGTCAGTCTTTCAACTTATCCTTACAGTCATCAATTTACAATTAGACTGCTTTTTTCTGAAAAGCAATTTGCAGCCAAAGAGGACAAGAGGACAAGACAAGGAATACGGACACCCTTTTTATCCCCTGTATTAGTCCTTGAGGCCTCCTAAGCAACAAGACTTCTGTAACTACATTGTCAACCTGCTCACTTGACAGTTTGTCTCCTCCAAATAGCTTTTGAACTTAAGGTCTCTTTGAGTGAAATTTGATAGACAAGGTGATGGAACTTCTACAAGTTTGACAAAAAACTGGTGACTGGGAAAGAAAAAAAAGCTGGCAGGCTTAGAAAATAAGCTGCAGAGAGTGGAAGCTGGAGCTGGAGCTGCTACTCTGAAAACCATAACCAAAGCAAATTTGTCTAACATTGCATTTGCATTGGAGGCATCCTGTTTACACCCAGCAGACAAAAATAAGACATGTCACATTTACATATTTTTCTGTCCTACTTGGGGGCATTCCTGTTAAGTGCAGAGCCATCCCAAGAACTGCAAATCTTTTTTGGTTTTTGCATCAAGACCAATAAGGCCTGAAGCTCGGGGGAATTTCAGAGTGAAAAAAAAACAAGCCAGCCCAGAATTCACCTCTAAGCAGCCAGAGCCACACGTCTGTGTTAGCTGGGCTCTGGCTTGGGAGCAGGAGTGGCTGCAGAGCAGCACAGTACGAGATGGGAAAGGCTTTGCTGCCCGTACAGGTGACAGAGCTGTGCCATGTGGTGACACCAGCCTGGGTGTGAAGCACTGCTGCAGAAGGCAGAGAACAGTCTGCTCATAGCAGCTGTACTCCCAAGAAGCCAGGGATATCTGTAAATAATTACAGCTGTACTTTAGGAAAGGAGGAATTGGCTATTGCATATCATCTCCTTCATGTGTCAGCTCTCCTTTTCCTATCCCTCTAGTTTAAAGTTATATTTATTGCACATTTCATACACTGTTTTTCAAGAGGGGAAGATAAGCCTCTTTGATATGTTCTCCCAGTGCTCTGGAGAGGTTTAGGATGGATGTTTATTACCATATCCTTAAAGTCTGAATGTGGATCACCTCTCACTGTTGCAAGTCAAGCCCTGGTAAAAGTCATAAACGAGGTTTTGATACACTATGCAAGAGAAATGCCATGTTTGGATAAATATTTCTATTCCTTCCAGCAATCTATTTACAGAGATGTCTTCATTAAAGCAACACACAAAACTTAAAAGTAATAAATATAAAAACAAAATAAGTTTTTAAAAAGATATCAAACTGAAGGAGAAGTGATAAAAATACATTATTCTGACTTAAGTACAACCAATATTTAATTAACTGCTCTTGCTGTGCCTGGAGTTCTTGTCAATGCTTTAATAAAAGGGTCGAATCTTTCTTTTCCAAAGAAATCAAGGACAAAACTCTCTAGAGTGGAAACAGAGTCTTACTTTACTTCTGCAGTCAATTTTGCAGGAATTGCACATTTTCCACTGTTTATTCATACTGTTTCAATTTCATACATAAAATATACATAAGCTATGGTAAAAAAAATTTTGAGTGTCACAATGAACAAGAAGAGAACAGAAGAGGGAAAAAAGAACAATCGGCAAACAACAGACAGCTGAGAAAATTATGTTATAAATCATCTAATCCAATGCTTTTCTTTAGTATCTCTGCCCATTTGAAAAAATTAACAAGTATTGTAGTAAATGAATTGGGGTGCAGTTTGGAACACAGTAATTACAAGAACTTTATTTTTAAATGATGTAATATATTTCAAATGTCTTTGATTATTTACACAACATTTATTTCACTGCTTTTTTACCATCTTCTGGAAGAGATTCTGAGTAATTATAATGAAATATTGTAAAATCTAGCCCAAAGAAATTATCTATTTCATTAGAAGAGTTGTACATCCAGCCCAGTATCCATCTCTCCCAGTGGCAAAAGACACTTGTGGTTAGATGAAGCTCATGACCTGCCCCTCTCTGCAAAGCATTCCCCTTGTACTTTTCCAGCACCCAGAATCATTCTACAAGGGACTTTAAAGGGTTCTCTTCTGCTGAGTCTTTCTAGTACCCAGGTCAGGACCTGCTGCCCATGGACTTTTCTAAGCAATTTCTGCCCCCAGTGACAGTATCTGCATCCAGATCCTTCTCTGGCAACAAGTTCCACAAGTGGGAGGACTATTTTTAACCATTTTAAACTTACTCATGATGGCTTTTGGTGCCCCTGGTTCCAATATTGTAGATGTTCCATTTAGCTTATCTATTACCAGAGAACTGTTGTGTCCTGAACTAACTATGAATGAAATATACTGCTTCAGCTCAGTTCATTTTAAAACATGGTTTCTTAGACAACAGACATGTTAAGAGGTGGAATTTTTAAAAATAAAGATTAATTAAATGAAGTAATTGTTAAGGATAATTATTCACTGTGTTTCTGAAGGTTTCTCAAAAAAATAAGTAAAAAACCTCTTCATGGTCAAACATGTAAATCCAAGTCATAGAATGTTTTGATTTGGAAGGGACCTTAAAGATCATCCAGCTTCCAGCCCCCAAGTCAATTCTACAGCCAGCACTTTTTCTGAGAGAAGCCAATCCAATCTTCACATCAACCTGGATTTGGAAAATTCCTCATCTGAGTCTGACCTTGTCATTTTGGACTCACTTTGCATTTTTGTATTTTCTTATTTGGCATTTAAATTTTGTATTCCATCTTCAGCCACTCCCTGACAAGCAATTACTGCCTTTTAAGAATGTCTTAAACCATCCTGAATAAAAGATTTTGAATACAATGAGAGAACATCTCATCCTTTCTGCTTAGGAGAGGATATTGGCATATCCCTGAAAGGTATAAATCTTACTAGGTACTGCATTATTTTATTAAATACAAAAAGAAAAATTACCAGCAATTCTCTTAAGAAGTCTATGAAGGCTACCACAGCCAAAACACACACAAAACTGCTCAGGTTGAGAATGCAAAGGCAGCTTTATGTAACTTCTTGCCACATCTAGATTACACAGTATTACCCAGTCGGTCCCTTTCTGAGTACCAGTCTGAAATGATGTAAAGCTGATAGAAATCTGCTCTAAATTTTCTTTAGCTGGAGGAGTAGCAGGTTCCCACATAGCAGCTACAGACCACCAGCCTGCAGTGCACCTTGAGCTATATCCCTTTTCCACATCTGAGTGAATTCCTTATTTCTCCTTCACTAGTTGCCTGGTGGTTAAGGATCTGTAAAACCAGGGATATGAATATAGCCATAATTTGACCACAAATATTTCAGCATATCTTCAGTTCAACTGTTTTAATAGTAAACAGAAGACCAAGATTGTGTAATATCTGCACACATAAACTGGACCTTCTTACTGGCAGGCTCAGCCTAACACAGCTAGGAGTAAGTTCTTTCCGTGATAAAGCACCATTGCACAACATCTGCATAAAGATTCATAAACAGGCCCTTTGATGGGTAGTCCAGAGAGGTTATAAAGCCTATTTTCTTCAAAATCTGATCAATCACTATATAATCATTTACTTGCTGTTTGCAAATGTTAATCCAGGGTCAAGGTAATGGCTGTCTGACACGACACTTAAATTTATATTAAACCATGCCCTTTTAGCATTCATTTATAACTTTGGAGGGCTGCTCTTATTTAAAAGCAGGCTGGCTTTATCAGGGCATGGGCACAAGCGACCGCACACTGCAAACAAAATGCTGCTTTTAGCTTCAGCTTTTTTTCTAACACTACTGCAGTGCTCTAATGCCCAAAATGAAATAAGCATTGCACCTGCAGACTGTAACACCATTGAAACAGATGCAGGAGTGGCCCTGGATTTGGTCAACAGACATCGCAGAGATGGTTACGTATTCGGTTTGTTCCGTGTTGCTGATGCACATGAACTACATTTAGTAAGTATGAACTTAAAGTCTGATTTACACAAGACTGTGACTTTTAAATAATGAGCCAGGTAATTAAGAGCTTATGTTTATTGCTTTTACTAGAACAATGTTGATGTAATCCAATGAATCAGCTGTGATTTACACTACCTCAGTATTCATTTGTGTATGATTTACTGCACGTAAACTTGATTTCAAATAATGCTGAACGGCCTCTCTTCTCTTGGCCAGCAGGATGTTTGCATAAGAGATGCTCTAAACAGCTCTATACAACTCTGGAAATTAATCTGCTCTGTCTGCTTTCTGGTTTCAGATGTTATACTCAAAATTTATATTCAGAAGGTTTCTTTATTTCATGAATGGCTAACATTAATTAGACCAATGTATCCTGCAAGATTGGTATTTTGTTATTATCCTAATTTCAGACATAGCTAAACAAACTGGTGGAGAGGGAAAAAGGCAGAGGAAGTCAAAGAAGTTGCTGCTCTGCAAAACAGGGGAGGACTGGATAGAGAATCCCTATCAGTCATTTTGTATTTCCTTCCTATTTCCATTTTTTTTTTCCTAGAGAAAATACATGAGCATTTCTCAATGACTGCTGAAATGCCAAAACAAATCAATAGCAGAAAAAGCAATAGAATAAAAATGTCTTTGACTAGTACATAAAAGAGATCAAGGACAAGCAGATTTACTAATCCACCTGGTAGCTTTCAGCTGCTTGATTATGAAACTGGTATCCAGGCACAATGCACCATCACAGAAATCTCAGTATAGCAACAGAAGAAACAGGCTAGTGTTTGATGGAGCTGCTTAGTAGAGCCTGTAGGGACAAGTACAGATTCAGAAAGGAACCCAAAGGCCAGGTTGCCACAGGTCTTCACGTACACCTGCAAAAAACCTGATGGATTTTTTTGCTTTTCAAAGACAAGAATGCAGTAAGTTATACCATTGGGTTGTACACAGTAGTCAGGCAGTTAAAGAGCTTCAGCTAGGAAGAATCTCTTCTGCATTGAGAGATTTAAACCCTGAAGTCTCCTGTCCTTGAAGAATTCTGCTGCCATGCAGATATGTGTGTGCCACCCCTCTTCAGCTGTCACAGTGTCTACAACAATAGAAAAGACACTCCTATCTATCTGACTGCTAAAGAATCCTCTCTGTAAGGTCTCTGTATGTTCTCAGACCCAAAGCCACCAGATGTGATCTCTGGCACAAGAATTTAATTGTACAAGAATTTTTTTTTGTTCCATTGCCAAGATAATATTAAGAATAGGTATATATTTAAAAAAAAAAAAGACCAAAATCTTATTTTTGTTTTTCCATGCAATAGTATGCAACAGGTTTATAATATCAGCCCCCTCAGAAACCTAAGCAGAGGAATTCTGGCCAAATCTCTTCTGGGTTTACACAGGAGTTCTAGAAGCATAAGACACTCAGGTATCCACAGCAAAACAGTTCTGGACTTGTGCAAAACTGTAGCAGGCAAAATGCTTTTAAAACAACTAAGAAGATACCATATTTCCCCCAAAGAGCTATTGAGCAGATGAACAGAGGAATTTTCTGTGTATTTGGATGTAGACACTTAACCCCTGTTTTAAGATTATACACAATGCTAAGATATACAAATATTGCAAAACCAGTGTTTAACATGACATTGGTGGACTCTTACTAGTGAAAATATTACACTAGACTGCAGCAATTCTTCAACAAGGTCTCATCTATAAAGAAACACTGAAAAAGGAATCTGAATGGATGGAATTTCATCAAGCCCAAGGACACTTCTTCACAGTGAAGGGCTTTGCATGTTTTTATCTAAATGACAAAATAAAATACATATGTGTTTATTCTGAATGTCTGTACAAGGCTGAATAAAGTTTAAATAATCCATTCCAAAATGGTTTCTGTGGACCACAGAAAATTCTTAGCATCAGATGCCATTACACTGCCATCCAAATTCAATTTTTAATTCTCCTAATCGTATTTGCTCAGGAGACAGAACATGCTAGAATAGTTTCAGAATTAAGGATTCTGATTGGGATTATTAAAGTTTTGTTGCATTACTCCCTGAATAAACTGAGCAGGAAGCAAAGTTCTGAAAGTTTCTGGTCACTAAGGTAATTTGAAATGGATGCACATACGGAATTGGCTGCCTAGACAACTGATGTCCTAAGAGAACAGTACATTCTATGGGAAAATCAGAAATAGGGAATGGCAACCTTTTAACACTGGCATTTTCCCTACTTGATGAATGTCACATTAACAACAGACACTTCTCACAGGTTATCAACAACAGGATAAGAGGCAACAAGTGTAAGTTGCAGGAAGGGAAATTCTGACTACATATAAGACTAAATCATGGAGAAAGTGGTGAAGTACTAGAATGGCCCAGAAATGTTGTGGAATGTCTGTCTTGGTGATACACAGAATGCAGTTTCAGCTTTGCCTTGAGCAAGTGGCTTGGCAAGATGACCTCCAAAGCTCCCTTCCAGCCTAAACATTTCCTATACTTGACAGCTCTGAAAAACCTTAATAAAGAACTGGTGGAGCTTCATTAAAGATTAAATATAGTGACCTCAAAAAAAGTTTATTTCAGATCAAACTGCTTGTCTACAAACTCTGTTTTATTTGCACTTCTCTTCCAGGGAAATTCAACGGTCCTCTACTTAACTTTGGATGTGCTGGAAACAGAATGCTCTGTCTTATCCAGAAGACACTGGGAGTCCTGTGACTACAGTGACACCTATCCAATGGCAAGCAATGGCATCTGCACCTACTCATATCCCAATAATGCACTAACTTGATCTTCCTCTGGACTGCCCAGAAATTTGTGTCTCAGTGAACACTGGGCTTTAATATGGCTCTTTCTAAACCAAATTCTATCTAATTCTAGAATGTTAAACATATGCTAAAGGCTTGGGAAAGGATTGAGTCTTCAAATAAGTATAACTTTATTTAACTTGCTGTCTCAAAGGAACTATACTCCACATTCCACTGCTTGTGGCAGAACTTATGTTTTAAGGGTAATTTGCTGACAACTAAAGGGCACTAGAAATTATTTTTAAAGCATGTTCCTGGTATATGAGCCAGAAATACCAGTGGTATGTTTTGTCAGTTTTCTGTCATAACATTTGTGGTATGACAATGGGAAAGATTGGTAGTGTCACTACATGAGTGATATACAGCAATACTTGTCCTTTCTTTTGCACTCCAGTGATGAGAACTCCCAGTCCAAAACTTTTTTTAAATAGGAGTTGTGATACTATGACAAAGGAGAAAGAAGAAGGGCCAGGAGCAGAGAAGAGAAAGCATTTATTCTTTTTTTTTTTTTATTGGAGAAAAGGAATTGATGAAAAGGTCCATCCACTTTTGACCAAGATTTGTGTAACATGGCATTCTAAGTTTCCCTGCCATCTTGTCTTATCCTACTCTAAATAAGTATCAGGATGACTAAGAAAGCTGTTTCAGTTTTCCATTGTCTACTCAATCATGCAAACTGAGAATTAAAATGAAAGCTCTTATACAGAGAGATCCCATTTTATCTAAAGACACATTTTGAGTGGTACCTGATCAAACATGCCATTAATGACCACATCTGTTATTCTTAGAGGTACTGCACATTAAAAGGAGGTATAATTTCTATGATCGCCTACATCCAATTAAATCCAGGGAAAATAACATCATAATCATGTATTCTTTTTTCCTCTCAGGACTTTGGGCAATGTAAGATTATCACATATACAAACCATCTGCTGAAGAAACCTCAACTATATGGATTTAATTGTACATTAAGTCCAGGTAAAATAACCACTGCTGTAAGCCAATGCATACCTCAAACCAGCCCTTGTACCAAAGTCTGTACACCACCAGTGTATGGAAACTATAACAGATCCATTCATCTGCTTGTAATTCATATTTTAGATAATTCAAATGGAATGTTAAGAATTAGTAATAGAATTAAGGTTACCCTACTCCTCTAAACCAGACTTTATTGATGTCAGCTGATATCACCATTCCAGTCCACCAAAATATCATAATGAACATCAGAACAAATGTAAATTTGGGAAGACTGCACATTTGGGGTGGTAAGAATCTAAGGTGATTTATAAGAATACTCATTTTCATGGGTTTGGGTTTTCTTCACATTACAGAACAAACCCTTATTTGTGGAGCAAGGGACAGGTATTTCACTTCCAAGGAAATGCTGCATTTAAGTTTCACATTATGAGTTCACATTAAAGGCATGGGCACACTCCCAAGAGTATTAAGATCCACTGTAATATTAGTCAATTATTTGTTTTCACAGTTCCACCTGACTTAGTAGAGTGCAAAGATTGTCCTGTGAAACTTGAAGCCTTAGAAGTCACTGAGGAACACAAAGATATTGCTGCAAAGGCCCTGAGGAAATTCAACAGTGAAGGTAACCACACAAACAACTTCGCTGTGGATAAAGTTGAAAGAGTTTTAAAGATGGTAAGTGGCATTTTCTCCTAGAATTACTTAGAAATGACACAATTTTGTGAGCAACTCCAAGACCATGGGACCAGAACTGAAACCCTTCTAGGATCAGATCTAAGTTGAAGGTCCTACTTTAGCAAAGACTTGTTATCAACTTTAATTTAGGTGTGTGAAAGCAAAAGGACTTCTCATTTGCTAAAGAACTATGACAGTATGATGGCATTCAGAATTCAAGGCCTCCTTTGTGTACATTTTTTAATTTTGACATACGTGACATACATGGGTTTATTTACTACTGAGCAGACTTCAAGATGGACAGTCAGGTATTATCACAGTCACACTCTGGTCAGTTGCAGACAGAAAATTTTTTACTCTTAGAATATATATCCCATGGTACAACAAACAGTAGAACATGCTCAGCATCATTTTGACTCTTGCTGCAGAGCAAAGCAGCACTCTGAGGAAGGGAGGTGAATTTGTGCTGTAACTCTTGAAGAACCTCTGGGTCTGCTAAATATCTCCATATCTGAGTGAAGTCAACATGAAGACTTATCCTTTGGGTGATTTGAAGTATATTAATGACAAAATTTCTTGTTGGTAGATACTGGAGACTTTCACTTACACAGCATGGGATCATTCTGCCAACACATGTGTCAGCCCAGGACACCTCTGTAATGAGGTCCCAAGGCTCCCACCATAATGCATGTTTATCTTGGAAACTGCCTAAATGATAGCATGCCAAACCCACCTCCCTGCAGCTTTTAATATCGCTCAGAAACCTGACAGTGTCCCACACTGGAGCCCTGTGCACATTGTATCCCTACTGCCATTTAGAAAGGGATTGTTTTCCATTGCCTGGGTTCATGTGTTTCTCCCCAAACACTTGGTTTTCATGCTTCACCATCTTCAGCTACAGCAACACTTTACATTGTACCACTGGATTTTCACACTCAGAAATTATGAATTACAATAAAAAACCATACCATAAAGTATGTGCATGCACTTTCAACCAATTTAGTTTAACTAGTGAAACTCGTATGTGCACACATGCTAAGGACACCTTCAACACAGACTTGATATAAAAGTACTGCTATAGCTGGAAATTAAAATGAAACACCTCTTTATGGATTTTAATGGGATCACAAAGGCTTTCTCCCATGTTCATATGGAGTAAGGCCTTCTCTATAACTAATGCCCTTGACGACAAAGAAAGCAACATTTTTACAGTAACCGGCAGAATTTCACCTCAAATTAACATCAGCACTCTAACACTATGCACTCCCAACACTGGAAATGGGTGGTTGCCATCCAATAGATCTCTCTGCTTTCACAGAAGCAGCAGTTCAGTTTAGGGAGAAGACTCTAAGGACACTACTTCCTAAAAACACAGGCTGTAAAAGTAACAGATTTTATAACATATGCATATTAAACAAAGAATTAAGGCAAGCATTCATGGAAGCTGTTAGGGTGTGATATACAAATTATCTAACCTGTTTTCCTTGCTGAATATGTGTATGTGCAAGAACATTTGAACAGGACAGGTAAGAAAAGCATGAGGTAGATGGGATTTTGACAATAAGATGACATATGGTTGCTCTGAAAATTAAAAGACTTTAAATACACCTAGTCACCACTTCTTCTTTGACCTCTTGGTTTCAGACTGCCTCCCGTGAAGGTCACATTTTAGGATTCTCTATAAAAGAGACCAACTGTTCAAAATCTACGCAGGAAACAGATCAGGCACTGGAATGTGATTTTCTGCATGACTGGCACGCTGTAAGTAAAGTCTTAGAACAAGAACTGATATAAAGGGCGGTACCAGGAAGATTCTACCAATATGTTTTCAAGTGTTTATTATAAGCATGCACCCAAACTCAAAACTAAAAATCCAGTATGTTCAAGCCCAGATCCTAATTTTACAGCTGCTCCATTATCTTTCATAAGGAAACAGTCTGAAGTCTCAAATCTTAATGTAATTGGAATATGGCATGTTAGAGGCCTAGAGTTTTTCAGGTTGTATCTAGCTTTTGGATTCAAATTGTGGCCAATCCCTAGCAAATCATTCATGCTCTGTCCATAAAAACTTTTACACCAATATGAGTCATAGATCCTGAAAAAAATATATGTCTTATGTAATCCCAATGAGCTCAGGGTTGCTTTTTTGCTGCAGAAGAACGGAGAGTGGAATAATTCAAGGTCATCTGCAGAAAACTATCAAAGTGTTCTCTTCACCCCATTTTTCCATTACTATTATACTCTACACCAAAGAAACAGCTAGGCAATATCTCATAATTTCAGAATAAGTTATTTCCCAGAAACTAAATTGAAATAATGAAATAAAACATGGAAAAAATAAAATATGAAAAACTTTTGGTTTATATGATTTACATCCATCACTTTCTGTGGTTTTTTATACTCCAGTCTGAACAGATGTTTGACAAGCAAAGGCAGGAAAAAAAAAGGAAGAAAAATCAGGCACCCAAGAGTACTCATTCTGGAGGCATTCGTGGCTGGCCAATTTCTTAGACATCAAAAGGGAAGTGAGATGCAGAGTAGTAGCCCCCTAGGTGCACATGGTGAAGTGCATCTAGAGCGCATCACAGTCAAGAACCCTCAAAACCAGCACTGATTTTAATCATTATTAATCCCTAGCAAACATTGGTTGGAAGGCTCAGGATCTGGCTAAGTTATGTGAAGCTACTTAGGTGTCAAAGGAATAGCCTAACTTGCAAAATGTTGAACATTCAGTAGTTTGTATCAATTCCATCACAAGAACCCAGATGTGCATTGTGGGTTTTTTTCCTTGTCTTTTGCTTAGCACACCGGCTTCTGCAAGGCAAGAGTTATCAGTGATGCAGATGAAGCTGATGGAACAGATATAAGCTGTGAAATCTACCATCCCTGGGTATGTACTCAGTTATGGACACATCTCTGGCTGTATCCTCATGCAGGTTGCAGCAATCTTGCTTAGTCCAGACTGGCAGATGATTGTAACATTTATGCAAATTTTCTATTGCCTGGATGTGATACAACATGTCAGGACAGACTGACCTGCAAGTCCTAGGTCAGTCAAAGGATGAATCAGAATTGAGCGGTCCCTACCACTCCTTTCAAGTGTGTCTTCTCTCAGTTTAGTCACTTGACTAAGTATCAGTGAGTAGAGATTGGCAAAAAAGTTCAAGGGAATTTTAGAAAGCAAGGAGAGGGGAGATGATCTTTATCATATCTGGTATTCCAGTTTATATCACAACAGCTACTCCAGTGTGGATTTGTTTTGATCTATCACAAATACTTCTCAGCTGGTTTTATAATTTCAACATGGTGTAGTGCTTCCAGCAAATTTTCAGTAACTTGGCATTTTATTATCTATTCCTTCTCTTCCATCTTGAAAAAAATACGTATTTTTTCCTTAAAGATCATAAGAGCTACGAATGCAAACCTGCTAACTCCCACCTCTCTCTTTCTCATCAATTTCTTCTGCCCTATCAACACCTGATTAATACTTCCTCCTTGGTGTTTTTATAAACAGCACCATGGCTGCGGGCGAAGAGGGAAACATTCAGCCCTGGGACATCCACACAGTCATCATCATTTTGGTCACAGACACCGACATAAGCATCACCACAGACATGAATGTCCCCCTTCTTCTCAGTCCAGACCTGAAGACCCTGAGCATAACCCCAAATCCAGCAAGGAAGATGAAGACAGCAACAAAGAACTTTCTTCTACCCCTCCTCCCCATGATGAACCAGATCATCATCCTACTCCACCTCCTCACGGACCAGATCATGACCACCCTCCTCACCACCATGGACCACCCTGTCCCCCACATCATGGGCCAGATCACGACCATCCTCCTCACCGCCATGGACCACCCGGTCACCCTCCTCATGAACCAGGTCACCACCATCCTCCTCACCACCATGGACCACCCTGTCCCCCACCTCATGGGCCAGGTCACCACCACCCTCCTCACCACCATGGACCACCCTGTCCCCCACCTCATGGACCAGGTCACCACCACCCTCCTCACCATCATGGACCACCCTGTCCCCCACCTCATGGACCAGGTCACCATCACCCTCCTCACCACCATGGACCACCCTGTCCCCCTCCTCCAGGACACCCTCCTCATCACTATTACAGACATCATCACAACAAGACAAGCATATCAGGGAAGTACTTTCCATGCCAGGTAACAGGAGCTTTCTATCGCATCCCAGTTCTAAATCAGCAGGATTCTCTCACACCTCCCACTGCAAACTTTTCTAAACTATCCCAATGCAACCTTCATTTTTCCAGCACTGGCTCAAAACTAAAGGAGATGGCAGAATTTCCAGGCTTTCCAGATCACCCTACACAATCAAAATCATGCCCCGGAAAACCCAAACTCGATCTTCCAAAAATTTTGCCTTTGTTTCCTCATAGCTTTGTAACAGAAAATTCTCCTATATGACCTCAGAGAGAGATGTTCCTGGCTCAATAATTTCAGGGGCAACCACAGTTCTACAGTCAATGAAAACAGCAGATGGAGAAGTGGGAAAAGCATTCTGTTTCTAGGAAGGAGAATCACTGAAAATATTCATTAAGCATTTCAACCTCCGTCTTCATCATGGCTACTTCAAGCTCCACTGTAACTGAAAGGTTCAAAATTCTGAGTCCCTCACATAATGTGAATGGGTAAAAATGTCCTCAGAAAACAATGTTCTTTCACTTCTAACACAAAGGAAAATTCTCTAAGAATGCAAATTATCATCTATAATCTTTTTTTTTCATAATTCATAATTATAATGTACTTCTCCAAGGAATCTGACCTAGAGGAAATTTGACTGTTTTCCATAAAAAAGTAATCCGTGACACTACATTCATGCTCTATACAGATTTATAGAAAATAAAAATGCAAGCATTTTTTTCTTGACACAGTTGCCTGTTTTGTTTTTTGTTGTTTTTTTTTTTCTCTACACATAATTAGCTATTGGATATTGAACTAGAAATTATATTAAACTCTGAAGCTATTTAAGTATTAAACATCCACAAAGTGAACTCTAGCATAAATTGACTAATGGTGTTTGGGTTAGCACTGTTATCTAGAAGGGGTCTGAGAACAGTTAATGACTTGCTGTCTCACTGCAGGGTGGCCTGCACAGGTGCTTCCATTGCTACAGCTGCTGGTGGTGATACACAGAAATATTGCAGTCAAGGACAGCCCTTCTCAAATAGTTCATAATTGCTCTCAGGGGAAGAGAAAAGCAGATGCATGTAATAACTCTTTCATGTAAATGTTTTCTTTATTGCTGAACCTTCCTCACTGGAAACTGAGTTGGGAGGAGCAGGGAGAAAGAACAGTGGTGCCTCTCTATACTCCAGCCCCCATCAAGGTCAAGTCCCTTCAGACTGTCTGGGGACCAGCAAGCTGGTTCAGAACAGCCTTGTCATCAGGAAGAACATAGGATTAATCTCAAAAAAGTTAGTAACTTGATCATCCAAATAGCTTTTTAATGGCATAAAGTGCAACACAGTGCAAAGGCCACACTGAAGAAAAAGAAACAAAATGAGGACCCATTGTGACTGAGTGAAGATTGACTAATTTTTAAAAGTTTGTTATCATGTATGAACAAACTTATTTCTGGTTTAGTTTATCCACAGTCTCTAAAGTGCATTTTCTTTAATCAAAACTTGTAGCAAGTGTAGTGAGTTTGCCCTAGCTGGCTGCCAGGTATCCACTAAAGCTGCTCTGTCACTGCTCTCATCAGCCAGACAGGGGAGAGAAAATATAACAGAAAGCTCGTGGGTCAAGGTAAGGCTTGAGAGTTCACTCACCAAATATTATCACAGGTGAAACTGACTGGACTGGGGGAAATTGGCTTATTACTAATCAAAACAAAGTAAGAGAATGAGAAATAAAGTAAAAACTTTAAAACACCTTCTTCCCAGGCTTAAATTTACTTCTGATTTTCTCTACCTTCTCCCTCAGCTGGTGCAGGAGGATGGGAATGGGAGTTGCAGTCAGCTCATCACATGTTGCTCCTACCCCTCCTTTTTCCTCAGGATAAGGACTCCCTACACCCTTCCATGCTCCAGCCAGGGATCCCTCCCACTGGAGGCAGTCCTTCATGAACTGCTCCAGTGTAGGTCCTTTCCATGATGTGAGTCCTTCAGGAACAAACTGCTCCAGCATTGGTGCCCTCACAAGTCCTGCCAGAAAAGCTGCTCCAGCCCAGGCTTCCAGAGGGTCACAGCCTCCACTGGGCATCCACCTGCTCTGGTGTGAGGTCCTCCATGAGCTGCAGGTGAATCCCTGCTGCACCAGTGACCTCCAGGGGTTGTAGGGACACAGCTGCCTCACCATGGTCTGCTCCATAGGCTGCAGGAAAATCTCTACTCCTCACCCACAGCAGTTCCTCCCACACCTTCACAGGCCGTGGGATTTGCAGAGCTATTTTTCTCACATATTCTCTCTCCTGTTCTTTCCCAGTTCCTTCTTTTTTTTCCTTCACCACTATGTTATCCCAGAGGCACCACCACCCGCACTGACGGACTCAGTCTTAGCCAGAACTGGATCCATCTTGGAACTGATTGGCATTGGCTCTGTCAGACACAGGAGTAGCTTCCAGCAGCTTCTCACAGAAGCCACCCCTGTAATCCCCCTGCTATCAAAACCTTGCCACACAAACCAAATACAGCAAGCAACAGCTGGAACACAGAAGCCAAAGCAATCCCAAGGTGTTCACAGACCCAAAGCAAAGCTATTTGGTGCCACATAGGGGAGACAAGCACCAGATGTTCTCAGCCATCTCTAATCCTGGCTTGACCAGACTCATGATAGTGTTTAATCCTTTGTTCTTGGGTGTCACATATCTGTAACGATAACAAAGCACTATGACCACTGACTAATCCATAAGCCAGGCAGTCTTCACGTGGCAGCAGAGATGGACTTTCCAATAGGACCATGAAGGACAAGGTTTATCAAGTGCTATTGAAGGGTTATGTGACATTCAACCATATGCACATGTCCAAAGACTTTTCAAACACATTCTGAGTACTACAGTTCTCAGAACTGTTGCAGCCTGAACACTAAACAGATCTTTAAAATTTACAAGGTTGTTGTCCAAAACTTCATTGCCACTGTGACCTTCCTGGATGTTTTATTTAAGCCTTGTAAAATTCATTCATTCAATAGCAGTTTAGGTGTTAAGAAGTCAGAAAGCTACAGCCACTTCTTTCTCTTATGCTTTACTTTGCCTAAACTGGTCCCCAGCTGCAGCCATTCACCCTGTTATCTTGATGGCAGGTGGATAACCTTAGTGACATTCTGGTGAACAAACAAAGTTTATTTAGATAAACTCAGAAGTTTATTTGCAGTATAAATAGGGTATGATGAGAACCAACCAACCCCAGGAACGCACTCATTCTGTTTGCTTAACTCCTGCTCCTGAAAAACAGAAGAGGTGACTACAATCCTGTCAGGCATTCCTTTTCCATTTGGTTCTTAAAGAGCCTTCTACTTCAGGGGGCCTTTTTCATCCAGTTATGAAGGCCTTCATTGTACTAGCACTCTGCTGTAGTTTTTTCTCTAGCAAAGCCATTCCTCTTGCATTTGAGTTTTCAGACTGTGATGACCCTGATGTCTTTAAAGCTGTTGATGCAGCACTGAAGAAATACAATGAAGATGAAGCAACTGGTGCCCAATTTGCTCTATACGTGGTGATGGAAGCCAAGAGAACTGTAAGTAGACTTTGCAAAAAAAAAAAAAAAAGTTGAAATTGTTTATGCACTTTGAATCAGCTTATCTCCATCTCGTTTGTTAGGGGGCAAGCATGACAGCACAGTGTCTTCCAAAAATGTTTTAAAAAATCAAAGTGACTTGCACAGTAAGATACTTGTTTCCCTGACCAGTAGGGGTGTATATTATGTTTTTATCAGCAGAACTCTGTGTGCTGGTGAATTGCTTACTAATGCAAGGACCAAAGAATAGAAAATTTCTATCACCAACACAATTTGTCTTATTATTCCACTCTGTTCTCTTTTTTCTTTATTGGGATTTCTAACCCTTCCATCATCTGTAAGGTTTTCAGACCAATGGCAAAACCAGACTTATAAAAAAAATATTATACTCTTGACTTGGGAAGAGCTGATGCCACACATAAAAAAGAATAACCTGATAAAGTTTGGCAATATTCTGACTTGTTTGTGAATATTATTTGATTGACGCCCAAGTCACAGATCTATCTAGAATCACTAGGTGGTATTTTAGTCAAATAGGATGACAGCTAAAATTACAGGAGAAAAGAAGGCAACATGATCCTTTGCCTGGAATCCTTCTATATAGCCTTAATCTAACAAAAGAGTATTTACCTTGGAGAGGTATACAAAGATGGTGTTACCATAATAATGACAAGCATTATTTTACTTGAAAATAACAGTAGCATATTTTTTCTACTGGATTGGATTTTCATATGTAAACCACAAGAAATCCAGTGTTAGAGAGAATATTTTGTACTCCAAAATCACAAGACACTTTTATCCAGACAGAAATTGACCTCGGAAAGGAGCCATGCATTGCTAAACACTTAGAGCAAATTACCCACATCTCCTGGCACCTGCCCTCTTGTGTTCCTGTTTACACACTGGGGAGATTTTAGCATGTGGAGACAAAGAGTAAAATCAGAAAGGCTTTTATATAATTAATATTAAGTAAATGAATAGTCTCATTGAACATTCTTAGCGTTCTCATTCTTAACAACAGCCAAATGCAAATATCTCCATATCTGAGCTGTAGTATCACCTACCTTCCTTCTGCTGGTGTTCCCAAAGGAGAGAGAGGAGTTGCAGAATTTTATCTTAAACCATGCTATATTTTTAAGAATACATATTTATTGCAATTATTATTCATCTTTCCTTCTCTAGATAGCCATCTTTCCTTTTCTTAAAAGATACAAAGTGGAAATCAATTATTACTTTGAATCATTGATCTGATTATGATGTTAAGTAAAAAACAGAAAATGAATCTGCAATTAAAATTTCCTCATATTTGAGATTCTTTTTCTAAAAAGAGTATAGATTTTACTCCTCACTAGTCTCACAATGTTGAATGCATTAATTAAATAGCTGGTTATTACATATTTATGTACATTCATTATTGATAAGGTAATAAAACATAAAAGCTTACTAGTGAAAGACTAAACCTGCCTCAGTTAAAGGCATAGCTGTTCATAATAGTAATGAAATAAACTAATAGCAAATAATACAGAAACAATGCATTTTCTTACTTTGTTTACTTACTGAGCTGATTTATTGCAGATTTAGAGCACTGTAACAGAGAACAGAATTTGGCTCTTTTTAAATCCAAATAGTATAATCTGATGTAATTCCATAAAAGTAAATTTCTACCTGCTGAGGATTAAGTCTATTATATTTTTAGAGCCCCTTTTATCCTTTTTTACAACTATTATACGA